CATTGCAGTTTCTCTCAAAATATTGTTTGATCTGCTTAAGTACGCACTTTCAGTGATTATTTGGTATTGCACGGTATAACATATTACATACATACCACAGACAATAACTTTTTGTTTTAGAATTATCACCTTCTCCAATAATACAATTGCTAGTTGTTATTTTGCCCGCAATACTGATAGAGGGCGAGATATATAAGTGTATATATGTCAGGGTCTTTTAGTGGTGATAAAAATCGGTAATCGTTCAATTGTGTGCGATAACACGAATTATTTCAAATTGTATCAAACATGTCTATATTACGAATTAAAATACAATCTTGGTTAGGTTAAATTTTATGTTTCATTCAAATTGTAAAATGTAAATGAAAATTGATTGTTACCTTGTATGCATCTGTGGTCACACAGTGGACATCTATTATTTGGAGGATAGGATACGTTCCTTTTGTGTGTCTTGTGCTCAAAATTATCTTCCATGCATCTGCCTCAAATGAGATTTAGCATTGTGTGTTCGCCCGAATAGATGCATATCTGCATGTAGGGATAGCTCTGGAATCTACATTTACTTTGATTGTAGCAGTGTGGTATTGCTGTGTTAGTTCCTTTACAAACTTTATGGTGTTGAGCAAGATAGGAGAGAAAAAGTGGAATACAAAAAAAGCATGGCTACAATGTTAACATGAATTGCTACTAATATTGCTCGCCAGCCATCTATGCACATTACTTTGTTTTGGTATTTTTGTATATACTGATTTTCATTTTGTTCTCGAAACTAACATTCATGTTGGGATATTTTTAATTGATATCTATGTCAACAGTTACGTGTAAAGCTGTGCTGTAGATTATGATTTATAGATTTATTTATTATATAAGAATCGGACTATCAACAGTTTAATTTACTAACAATCATGCCAAATATGAGTAATATTTGTGAGCCATTCATGTTATTAGGTTTTAATGCAGTGAACAAATAATCAAAGCACTCTTTATCTCACTTGGGTTATCCCTTGATATGTCCACTTCTATGCCGTCTTCTGCTTTGTTCCGCCACAAGAATGAAGGCATTTATGGAAATATTATTGCGCGATTAAATTGATTGTAGCTTGTACAGTATAGATTTTACAGTGAACTGCATGTTTGTATGGCCATACATGATAAAAAGCATAGAAATAAGATATAAAGCTTTACACACATGATAGCACAATAAACTACTATACTAGTAACTATTTTTATGAAGTTAAACATAGTATGATAACTGAATAAAATATAATTACTATCATACACCTAACATTAACACAGCATACATTATTTATAGAATTCATAATGTTCATCTTAATCAATAAACGTGTTTATTGTACCATCAAATCGCAATGTTTCGGAGTGAAAATCAATCTAATTTAATATGTTATACAGGAAATAGTGACCTAAACTCACAATTATTAAATGTTATCATTGTGATAAATTGCTACTTTTATACAATAAATTAAGTCTACTTAATTTAATTATACTAACGTATATAACATTATTCTATAGATGTTATTCCTACGGAAGGTGATCCTGTTCCTATTGGGGATTTCGGTAGAGTGGCTTCTGGAGGATCGTTTCAGGTTGATGAGAACGTGCACATCCCTGGAGAAGATGAGGATCCCTATCCACCATCAAGAATATCAGATCTAGAAAGCCCTTCATCGAACTATGATGAACAAACAATAACATTACGATGGACTGCAGTGGGTGACGATCTTGACCAAGGAACAGGTATGGATGATTTTGCGTTGTAATAGACATAGGCAGACTCAAATATGCTCATTACATAGAATGCATACAATCATACACTAACCCCACGTCTAATTTATCGTTATACTTCACTGAACAAACTCACTTAGCATAATCGGCACATGCCTGTCCACTTGCAGTGAACTAATGTCACTACTGAAATACGTCACACAATACTTGGTGCACACAGTTGACAACAATTTGTTTCATTTCAGCTGAGTATTATGACCTCAGATATTCCACTTCATTTAGTGAGATTTTGGATCACTTTGATAATGCTACGCAAATAACTAATGATGACTTGGTTGTTGGGAATTTAACTTCTCCGCTGCCATCTGGATCTGAAGAGAATTTCATCGTATGGCTTCCTACAAAAGGAACGGGTACAACGTACTACTTCGCTGTACGTGCTGTGGACAAAGCTGACAACGAAGGTGACATTTCCAATGTGGCACAGAACACTATAGTGCCAATACCGACAAGTGGACTGGAGTGGTGGGAGATATTTCTAATTATTCTTTGCTGTGTTCTTGCCATTGCCATCATTGTATGGGTAACTGTATGTGCAATGCATTATTGTCAGATGAAGAACAAAACTAAAGACTCTTCTAAAACTGCAAACACTGAAGATCTGGATAATCCTTCATATGTTGTAGTTTACTAAACCCTCACAATATTACTACTGCTATATATAATGAACAGCAGATTATTGCCTATTATTTTGTCAGCAGTCGTTAAGACATGACGATGGCAGGTCGAATGTTAAAATAACGTGATTAAAAAGATTGTTTTTTTCACAAGAAATAACAGCACTCAAATAAACCGATTTTAATATAAATTGAAAACGACATTATTAGAAACTTGCTCAAAAACTAGTGAACAAATGTAAACAATATCAGACAGAATTGCATTTGAAAATCATTGAATTTAAATTATCTTTCTAAGAACATAACACACCAAATAAGGATTTAAACTACATTGTTTTTTTAAACAATGATACATAGAAATTGTGTACATAACACTGTGGTGCACGATATAAATATTGTATATGTTGTTGTTGTTGTTTTTATTTCATCAGAAAATATACAATAAATAATATACACAATGATAATATTAATAATAGTAATTCTAGTGAGAACCACAGATATAGTTCATACAAACTAGTCTAGTCTGTGGCCCCATAATACTGATGTTATTAATTAAATGCATAGCACACTTAACTTAAAGATAAATGACAACTTTTTTTCTATATACAGACTTTTAAATATTGTACATTTACTCATTCATGAGATACAGTTTTAACGTAATTTTAAATATGTATCTGCTTTTGATAATTTTATGGAATCCAGTTGAGTTCCAGTTGTTTGCTGCTATATAGGTGATACTGTGTTGATTAGTAGTAAGATTCATTCTTGGAATATAATAATTGGAACTAGTTGCTTGACGTGTTGCATAGTTATGAGGAAAATGTTTAAAGTAGTGGTCAACATCATGGGCAAACGAATTCTTATTTTAAAGTCAGGAACATTTCCTAAGGGATGGAAGGGTAGCATTATCCTACCAATACACAAAAAGAGATCAAGATCAGACCCAAACAATTTCATGGGAGTGGCTTTGTCCAGTTGCTTGGGTAAGCTATTCACTGCCACACTAAATAATAGATTAATACAATGTTTAGAGAAAAATAATTTATACACTTCTTCTCAATTCGGTTTCCATAGAAATAGACGGACGACAGATTGTTTATTTATTTATTCTAAAATTTATAGTAGATAAGTATATTCACTCAGAATACTCAAAATCAAAAAATAAAAAATTGTATGCATGCTTCGTAGACTATAAGAAGGCATTCGATAGCATGTGGCGTGATGGATTATATTGTAAATTGTAAAAATATGGTATCACCGGAAATATTTACAACCTCATAAAAATATGTATAGTGGGGTATCCTACAAGGTAAAAACTAGTAAAGGGCTCACAAATGAATTTGATTCATTTATAGGGGCAAAACAAGGCTGTAATATAAGTCCAACCTAATTTAGTTTATTTATTAATGACTTGCCGGAAAAAATAAAATCTGCAAATGGCACCCCCTGAACTAAACAGCCAAAAACTAAACTGCATTTTATTTGCTGATGATGTCCTAATAATATCACAGACCCAGAATGGTATTCAGTGCAGCATGGATGCACTGGCAAAATACAGCAATTCTTGGAAACTATCAGTAAGTCTAAATAAAACTAAATTAATGGTATTCAATAAAAAAAATCATACATTAAATAAGAAGTCAAGTTTCTCAAGTTTTATGAGGGAAATGAAATTGCCACAGTAGATAGTTTTAATTACCTGGGTATAGTTTTCACGTCGAATGGAAAATTCAAAACTGCGTCCAATACTTTAAAAGAGAAAGCTATGA